AACTTAGGCCATAGAGGTAATAGCACTGATACTTAATCCCTAGACCACAAAGAAGGCCCCCATAAGGCCCAAGGTTTTGTTTTGTTTTCTTTTCTTATATATATATATATATATATATTTACATTGTTCTTCTTTTTTGCACAATGTTTGCTTTTTCTTTTCACATTTTGTACTCCCTGCAAAATTCCCATCACCAGTTCACATGTGCACATGTCCAGTTTTGATTGGAGAACTCTACTACATTAGTCAGGGTTCTCCAAAGAAACAGAGCTAATTGGAGATAGATGATAAATGATAGACAGGTAGATAGATAGATAGATAGACAGACAGATAGATAAAATAAGATAGGAGATACAAAATTAGAAAGGAAGAAATAAATCCATCACTGTTTTCATATGATTTGATGCTTATGTAGAAAATCCCCAAAAATCTGGCCCTCCCTGGTGGTGCAACAGGTTAAAGCACAGCAATATGAAGCTAGCTATAGCCACCAGAGCATGAGTTCAATTCCTCAGCCAGGGAGGTGACCCACATGGCGTGGCAGACCTCTCCTCCCTCTCTTGCCCACTGCTCCCCTCAGCAGTGTACTTCATCACTCTGCCTGTTCTGCTCCCCACTCTGTCTCAGGTGAATCCTCTCACCACCCCTGCACCTCTGGCCTGCACCCCAGTTCTGTGTGCATAAGTAAAAATGAATCTTTAAATAAAAAAAGAAAGTTCAAAAAAAATCTACAAAAAAAAAACCTGGAGTAAATTAGTAAGTTCACATATATAAGATAAATACATAAAATAAAAATAAAATAAAGTTTTTGGTTTGTAGAAGACCCTGATAAGAGGATGAAAAGACAAACTATAGTGTAGAAGCAATACTTGCAAACCATTCAACACCAGATTATTATCTAGGGAATATAAAGTACTCTCAAAACTCAAGACTTGAAAAAAGCAAAAGCAATCCAATTTAAAGAGAAAGGACATAAATGAAGAAGATATACAGATATAAGATATAAATTCAGAAGAAGATATAAATTCAATGAAGAAGATATACAGCTGGCAAATAAGCATATGCAAATATATTTAATACTACCAGTCATTAAGGAAATGCAAAAAAAACACACACAATGAAATGCCACTGTATGCCTATCAGAATGAATAATGTAAAAATGTAGTAACAAAACTAAGTGCTAATGAAAAATAGCACTTCCATGGCTGATGAGCATGCAAAATGGTATAGCAACTCTAGAAAAGAGATTGGCAGTTTCTTAAAAAGCTAAATATGTAAGTACCTAGAAATTGCATTACACGCACCCACACAGTCACCTCCAGTAGCCAAGTCTTCCTCCAGCCTCCTTTGGGAAGGTCTCCTGGACCAATGCAGCTGAAGAATTCCCTTTCCTGTAGCCCCTCAGCACTGACTGCTGAGGTCCATTCAAGGAGCACTGGCCCCTCCTTGGGCCAGGCTGCTGCTTCTGCACTAAAGGCTTAAGAGTTGTGTGTATGTAGGGGTGCGCTATATCTGGAGCCCTTCTACCACCTCCTCCCACCCCCTTGATCACTGTGCACTCTCTGGGGCCCACACACCACTGCAGACCCTGTAGTAGCATTTGTTTTAATGACTTTATTGAGATATAAGTTACAAAGATACAGCCCACTAATTTAAGTTGCCCCCTGCGACGGTTTTTCAGTAGATTCAGTTATGCAACCATCAGTACAACTGTAGAACATTTTTGTGACCCCCCCTAAAAGAAACCCTGACCCAGGCACTCCCCATTTCCACCCACCACCCCCATTCCCAATCCCTCGCAGCCACTATAGATTTTCCTGCTTCCTATACTTGATATAAATGGAATTACATTATCATTTGTGACTGATATCTCTGACTTACCGTGATGTTGTCAAGGTTGTCAAAGTACACATAGCATGTACCAGTACTTTCATGGCTGAATAATATTCTATGGTATACATGTACCACATTTGTTGACCTATTTATCAGTCAACAGACACTTAGAATATTAGAATATGGTTCTGCTTTCTATTACGAATATTCCTATGCATTTTTGTGTGAACATGTTTTCCTTTCTCTTGAGTAGATAAATAACTAGTAGGAGAATTGTTGTGTCATAGGATAACTCTCGCAGACTGTTTTCAAAAGCGGTTGCAACATTTCATATTCTACCAGCATGGCATGAGTGTTCCAATTTCTCCTTGTCCTCAGAAATTCTTGTCATTTTTCCTCCTTTTGATTTTAGTCACCCTCCTGGCTGTGAAGTGGTATCTCTTTGTGGTTTTATTTGCATTTCTTCATCACTAATGGTGTTGGCATGTGATTCTCTTCATCACAAAGGGTGTTACCATTTGTATCTCTGCTTGTCTACTCGAATGTCTATTCAGGTTCTTTGACCAATTTTAATTGGGTGGTTTGACTTTTTGTTATTGAGTTATAAGCACCAAGGCAGATATTAAGCATAAAGCTGATTGGAGCTGTTTGCCCAGAGCCAAAGTCTTATTTGCAGTGTCCCTGAAGTTTGGCCCCTGGGCACAAAGCTTTCTGCCCTGTTGGCCTCATCTCCTAATGCCCTGCCAGCAGGTCCACTTCCCTTAGGAACAAGGTGCCAATCCCAACCTGTTTCCTTCAGCTGAGGAATCTGAGGTTCAGTATGGAAAGAGAACCTGCTCAAGAGAGCTGGCTCACGTCTGGGCCTGCCCACTAACCCCACACTTTCAGCCCACAGTTCTCTGCACATTGGCACACCCTGTCCCGGTTGCTTTCTGGTTAAAATAAAATACACTAACATGACCACTCTCATGCAAAGCTGATCACGTAAACACTTTCCTTATTTTACACAAGAGAAAAGTGAGACTAAGAGGGGAATGTGACCTCTTTTTCTCCTGCCTCAAGGCTCGCTCATGGCATCCCACCAAGCACAGCTAAAGAGAACGGCCTCTCTTAGGCCAAAAGCATCTGACCTCAGCACCCCCATCCTACCCTCAGCCAAACTGAGTTCCACCATGGGAGTCTGGCCATTGCTTTGGTTTCAAACCATCTCCACTAACTGGAAAATCATAGCAGCCAGCAGTCCACTGAAACGGACCTTGGGGTACATGAACTTCCTCTAGGGCAGCTCCCACCCAGCACCAGCTGGGCACTCTGGCCAGGCACTCCCAGCCCTGCCCAGCCCTGCCCAAGACCTTTGTCCCTGAGAGGAGGACCCTGGTTTCCATGGGCCTCTGGCCCTGTTTACCTTCCTCTTCTACAACCCCCAGGCTAGAACACTATGGCAGAGGACATGGGCTGCATGCCTGTGAGTTGAAAGGTGGAGGATACACCAGAGAAACCCCTAAGCTGGACTCAGGGAGTTCGCTCGCATTAACCGAAAGTACCCTTGGTTTCACGGAACACAAAGCCATCTGACTCAGGGAGCAGGGTAGCAGCCGGTAACAGCTGTATAAGGACCTGCACAGGCGAGATGCTAGGACAGATAAAGTGGTGTCCTGCCTTCTTTCAAGTCCCCAAATCAACTTCTGTGTATCCAGGACCAATCTAGGCACTAGGGATATTGCAGTAAATAAAACTGGCCGAAATATTGGCCAATTTGGGGGAGATTCCGAATGTCCCATTGGAACTGATTCCGAATGTCCCATTGGAACTGAAAGAAAGAGCAAGAGAGAAGAAATGTGAAACCAGATGGGGCGAAATGCTAAGGAGAAAATAAAGTAGGAAAGAAGGCCAGGACATTGTGTAGTGAATAACTGCAAGTTTAGACTGTGTGTCGTGGTCAGGAAAGGCCCTTCTGAGAGCAAAATCCTAACAGGAGGGAGGCCTGAGCTCAGGTATCTGTAGGAGCTCTACTCTACCAGGGGAAGCCATAAGCACAGGTGCACAGAAGTGGGGCCACAAGTTCCTGGGATAACAGCCTGGAGACCCAAGTGCTGAAGTGAGGGAATGAGAGGAGGCAAACCAGGCAGCACTGCCCAGGAAACTCCCAAGAGGTCTAAGCAGAGCAAGCTGGGAGCTGGGAGGAGACCTAGGGACCCCGACGGTTCTGCCTTCCTGCTTTTGCCTGGATCAAACATCTTTCATCACCTTTTCATTAAGGGTAATCCCTGCACCAACAGGCTCAGAGGGAGGGAGGACGTGGGCTCTGAGGGGAGGGAAACCCCTAAGGAGAGGGAAGGAGAGCTGGGAAGGAGAGCTCTCAGGGGAAGGCATCAGGTGTCCAAGCAAAGGATAAGAGCTGAGGGGGCTGGCTCGGGTCTGCAGGAGAATCTGAGCTCAGGACCAAACTGACGGTTATCTTCTGAGACTCCAAGGGTCTTCCCTGGTTCCTGGACCAGCCCCCCAGAGACAGCATCCCACCGGCCTGGATCAGGCAGGGATCGCAGGGCGAGTGCTGCTTCGGAGGTTGGAGGAACCAAGGAACAGGTGCGCAGTCCTGAAAACCGCCTTCGCGAAGCCCAAGTCCACCCTGGGTCCTTCCCATCCCGGGGAATTTCAGGCAGCTGGTCACCAACTGCGCTGAAAATGCAGGGGTGGCAGGGTCTAGCAGGCTGTGGTTAACACCCCATCCCCCCTCCGACCCCCATCCCTTCACCTTCCGTTGACGGGAGAAAATTAGTTTCTGGGAAACGGGGACCAGCGAAAGGCTGGGACTCAAGCCCGCGCCCCACCCTCTCTCCTCACCCCCAACCCCCCCCCCCCGCGCGCGCTCTGCGCCACTCCAGGCCAAGTCCTGCCTCCTTTGGCGCTCCGTGAAGGTGGGAAGTGGGGCCACGTCACTGTCCCCAGTTCCCGGAGAGCTCGGCTCCTCCTATCCCGCCCCCCGCTGGAGCTCTGGGCTGGGATCTAGGACTACCCCGCCCCAGCCGAGGTCCAGCCCAGTCGCCGCCCGCCCACAAAGCCACAGACAGGTGCAGGTGCAGGTGCAGCCGCCGCGCCAGCGGACAGAGAGAAGCCGTTAGCGCGCGCGGGGCTGCGCTTCCGTAGGTCTGTCGGTCCCGGGCCTCTAAGTCCGCGAGTCTGTGGGTCGGCGAGGAGCAGCTCGCGTTCAAGCCCAGCGGCTCCCGCCTCTAGTTGACCTGCACTGTAGTCGCCCGGCAGAGCCGGCTTTGGCGCGGCAGCCATGTCCATGGCCCTGGAGATCACGGGCACAGCTCTGGCCGTGCTGGGCTGGTTGGGCACCATCTTATGCTGCGCGCTGCCCATGTGGCGCGTTTCGGCCTTCATCGGCAGCAGCATCATCACGGCGCAGATCACCTGGGAGGGCCTGTGGATGAACTGCGTGGTGCAGAGCACCGGCCAGTTACAGTGCAAGATGTACGACTCTCTGCTGGCGCTGCCGCAGGACCTGCAGGCGGCCCGCGCTCTCCTCATCGTCGCCATCCTGATGGCCGCCTTCGGGCTCCTGGTGGCACTCGTGGGCGCCCAGTGCACTAACTGCGTGCAGGACGACACGTCGAAGGCCAAGATCACTATTGTGGCGGGCGTGCTCTTCCTGCTGGCCGCTTTGCTGACCCTGGTGCCGGTGTCCTGGTCCGCGAACACCATCGTCCGGGAGTTCTACAACCCGCTGGTGCCAGACGCACAGAAGCGCGAGCTGGGCGCGGGTCTTTACGTGGGCTGGGCGGCAGCGGCGCTGCAGCTGCTGGGGGGCGCGCTGCTTTGCTGCTCCTGCCCGCCCCGCGATACGAAGTATGAGCCCACCAAGATCCTCTACACCACGCGCTCCGGGGCCCCGAACACTGCAGCCAGTACAGTCTACGACCGCAAGGACTACGTCTGAGAGGGCAGAAGGGGAGAGACCCACGACGACGGCCACCGCCGCCTCCACCGCTGCAGCGCCCACAGTCCAGCATTCGGCCTTGCTTCGACGCCAGCCAGCCCAGATGCCGGCGCCCCAGCCAGCTGCCAGCCCTCTGCGGGGCAGAACTGCGGAGTCCAGGGACCAGCCCCTATGGACAAAGAGACCGTGGCTTCTGGAGTATGGGGCTGGAGGGACTTGCTCTAGTCCTCCAAGCCCCACGTGGGGACTGTAGCTCCAAAGCCCCTCTGGCAGGGATTGGCAGCCTTGAAAAGGGCCACTTGATTTTTTCAATAAAAACCTTTCATTTTGCAGTTGCTGGCGCCTCCTTGTCCTGAGCTGCAACAGGCCTCCACCTCCCTGCAAGGGTAGGCCTCGGCTGAAAACTGCTCTCCTGCTGTCGCTGCCTGGGATGATACTTAGAGAGGGGCAGAGGTTTGGGTAACTGAGAAAGTGGGGTTGTGAGCTCTCGACCAGACTGTCATTCGGCCCACTCACTGGGGGTTGGGGCAAGGAAAGCCCAATTTAGAGATGTACTGCAGTCATAAGGGAGGGAGGGAGGGCGGGCGGGCTTCAGGGGCCCTCTCTCCAGGTGGTGCCACTGGGGCTTATGTTTGGAGCATCAGTCATTACAGGGCCACCACCAACCCAGATCTCTGTGTCCGATCAATGCTATGATTTCAGATCTGGGAAGAGAGAACAAAAAGAACTGTTGTTTTGGTAACTCACGCCACCAAAAGTAAAAATGGGAAGAATCTTTTTCACCTGGAGGCCAGATGAAAGAGGGCTTCATATTTTCCCAGGAACCCTCAGGGAGAGGACTCAGAACCATCTGAGACACACCAATGCTTTAGGTAACCAACGTTTGGAAGCCCCTGATGTTAGAGAAGGCGCAGGAGGTTGAGGCAGTAGGGAAGCTGACCTGGGGTCAGGCACAGTTGGGAAGGAGGGATTCTGCATGGCTGGATGAATAGCAAGACGAGAGAGGGAAAGGCCCAGAGGAAACGAAGTCATGGAGTCTTGTGAGTGGATTTCTAGACTTTGAACCTTACTCTGGTGTGATGGGAGTCTTGGGAGGGAATTGCCTGGTTAGAGTCCTGTTCTAAAATAAGCAGCAGCCCCTGTGGAACAGGGATTTAAGAAAGAAGATGGAAATCTAGAGCCCTTAGAGGTTATGCTGTCATCTCTTTGAGATGATGCAGGCTAGAAATAAGGCAGCAAGAGTGGAGGCAGAGCCTGGCAAGCGGCCTTCAGGAAGGCAGATGAGCAGGACTTGAGAACCACTTGGTTGAGGGATAAGGAAGAACAAGGGTAACCCCGATTTTCCATGCTACATCCCTGACTGGATGGTGGTACCATTTACCAAAATAGGAGACTGGGTTGCTGGGGGAGGATGATGGCGTCTCTCTCTCTCTCTCTCTCTCTCTTTCTCTCTGGCATATAGAGTTTAGCAAGCCCGTGGGGCTTCAGGAGGAGGCATCCAGGAAATGGGAGGGCATGGTTCCAGATATGGAACTCAGGGGTGATAAATGTAACTGTGGTTAGCACACAGATGGCAACGGAAACCAGGGAAGTGCCTGAGGTCAGTCTAGAAACCAACGAGGGAGAGTTTAAAGAAGATGGGTGTTGGCGAGGGCGACTGAGGTTGTGGGAGTGGTCAAGCAGGCAGCCTGTGGAGTAGCCTGTGGCATCCACAGCTAGGTGGTCACCGAAGGCCTAAGCAAGAGGCGTGGTCACTGTGGGGACAGACACAGTGGCTAAGAGAGTGAGTGGAAGATGAACATACAGACCGAACATCCAAGAGGTTTGCTTATAAAGGGAATTCAGGCCAAGCCAACAACTTCAGGGAGCACAGCTATTTGGAATTGGAGCGACTTGAAATTATTGCTGAATTATTGTATGTTGAACATTTTTTGCCAGCAGGAAAGTTACAGCAAAGGGACCCTATGGCAGACAGATTTGCCTATAGAATATTCCATTAAAATCTCAAGCTACTCTCCTCTAGTCAAAGATCAGTAACCGTTGTCACTCTTTATGAGCCAAAACAGGAAGTAACATTAGGTAAAGTAGCTTCAGGTCATCTCTGTAAGATTCCAGGAAGGGATTTGGGTTGTGATCATTTTCTACAATGGCTCACCCTACAGGGAGGGACCTTTGTCCTAGTCTGGTGGAGAGGAAACGTGGTATCCTACCCTATTCTCCACACCCCACCCCACAACATGCTCACACATCATTGCCTGGCTTCAGGGTCTGTTGTAATCCAACCTCTTTTTACCCTTTTTGGAGTGTAAGCTCTAAGCAAAGGTGGCAGAACGTAGCAGCATGGAGATCACAGGTGAGGAGGGTTCCACGAGGGACTCCAGAAAATCTTCAGAGAGCTGGAGAAGCAAAGATGCCTCTTGTAAAGAAGCATCCGAAGCTGGGAGTCAACTGGTTTCTAGAACCCCTTTTCCTGAGGGATTCTAAACTCCCCTCTGGGTCTTCATTTCGCCACCATTTCCACAAGAGGGTTGGACCAGATGATCCATGAGGTTCCCTCTAACTTACCTTTTCCATCCTCATTTTTATCCCTATGACCCTTTGCAGAGGAAAATTTGTGGGAATCAAGCTGACCAGGTAAGCAGAACAGTTCATGCCTGCCTCAAAGCCTCTGTCTTCTCATCTGCAACGTGGGTATGATATTAGCCCTGGGCTGCACTGAGGATTAGCTGAGCCACTGAGGGTCCCATGCAGCCTATTCTTATCCCCTCACAGCACACACTATACTCAGTCGTTTTGTTTCTTATTGATCTTCTCCCACAGAAGGCCATCTGCCAAGGTCAGGGGCACTGTCCATGTGTCCTGTAGCACCCAAGGCAGAGCAACATCGGTTTATAGAATGAAGGTATGCCTGTCTGCATTGAAAGTGCTCGGCAAACAGTGGGGCCTCAATTAACGTGAGTTGGCACTGTTAATATTTTGATATATTCAGCCAGACAGAAGCCTGGGAACATATCATGAGAAAGTCCACAGATTTCTTTCAAATCCATAGTGCTCCCTTGCCAAGACCTGAGGCTCTATCCCACCATACCTTCCACTGTTTTTCCATAAGCTGCCCAGGTCTTGCCACACCTGTTCTAGCTCTTCCTCCTGCTGAGACTAAAGCCAAGTGCTTTATCAAACAAACACAGCATTTATTGTGGTTCCCTCAAGGTCTGTGGCAGGCCTGGAAGAACAGACAGTACCTTCCTCCTCCCTCCCCTACCCGAGCTCCAGTAAAGGTCATCTGTGCCAAGGCGTGTGTTTTGTAGAGCAAGTAAAGGAGAGCATGAGAACACTGACTGTTGCTAGCTGAGGGCCCTGGGCAAGTCACTGGCAATCAAGGAAGGTTGGTTCTCGGCTGTAAGTGATGACATTGTCCCAACTCCATTTGACCCTCCCAAGAATTGCCCCTGCAAGGCAACTATGATGACTATATGAGTGACTGAAAGTCTAAATCTGACCAGGTCACTCCTCTATTTAAAATCCTTCTAGATCCCCACCCCCGAACAGCTCTGAGCATCCCACCCAGACTCCATGTCTCCATGACTCCATGGCAAGGCCCCTTAGAGGATAGGGCCAGGGTTGCTTCTCAATTTCTGCTTGAGTTCTTCAAATTGCCCCATCACATTCAAGGCCCAACCCTGTAGACATCCCTCATTTCCTCAGAAGTGCTGTGCTCTCTGGACCCTGCCCCTCAGTACAAGTTGTTCTCTCTTCTTGGCATAATCTCCACACTTCATTTCATTCCTCTTCATAAGCTTTGAAGTCACTTCATGTATCAGCTAAAGGGAGCTCCCCTGCTATGCAACCTGTTTCAGAGTGCTGGGTACCCAGTTGACATAATGGCAAAGGTTACTCTGTGTCAGCATAGCCCCTTCACTTTTCTTTCTGCAGCCCCTATATCATCAGCTTTGCAGAAGAGGGAGAGGGAAAGAGGGTCCAGCATCCTTTCATCTTTATGCATATGCCCTCAGCTCAGCATGGCACTAATGTTAATGAAGATGTGAGATGGTTCTTGTCCATGATGAAGTTTGGAGAAGAAATTGTGTTTTATATGCAATCAAGGAAGGTTGGTTCTAGAAGAGTTTAGAGCTGTACCAATCTGGCTTTGTGGAGGAGTCCCTGAAAAAATCTTGAATAAATATTTTGGATTGGCAAAGTTTAGAAGGAAAGGCTTTCCAAGCAGAAGTCAATGACTGGGCAAAGACTGGAGGTGGGGACAAAAATATTATGCATGGGTGTGATCTGAAGGCCAACCAGAGTGCAGTAGAAAATTTGTATAAGGATAGTAAAAGAAAACTGTGTAGGGACATGGAGTAACAATTCAAACCAATGTTCCCTGCCTGGTAATTTGAAGTCTTTCCTGCTCTTTCCTAGACCCAACAATGGAGCCATTTGGAGGTGTTCCCAGCCTTGACAGACTTTACTATCCTTATTCCTTTCACTTTCCCTTCTATTCAAGGCCTAACAATTACCAGGGAGTTGGCAATTCATTGGGAATCCAAATTGAGTAAATGCCTAACCAAAAAAAAATAGAAAGAATGTTTTCGTCAGACTAAAGTGAGGAAATTTTTCCCAAACAAGACATGAACTCTAGAAGGAATAAAAGAAAACATGATCATATTTGAGCATATAAAAATATAAAATAAGTGAATAATCCCAAAAGGAAATTAAGAATGTGTCCACTTACTATAAGTGTCCACTTACAGTAATATCAATATTAATACTATACTTAGGAATAAACCTAACCAAGGATGTGAAAAATAAGTAAATGTAAAGACGTTCCATGTTGGAAGATGTGAAATTGCTAAGTTGTCCATGATCTATTGATTCAATGCAATCTTTATCAAAACCCCAGTAACATAATTTACATAAATAGAAATATTCATTGTAAAATTCACATGGAATCTCAAGGGACCTTGAATAGCCAAAATGATAAACAAACCTGGAGGATATACACTTCTGGATTTCTAAACATATTACAAAGCTACAGGAATCAAAATGGTGCAATACTTGCATAAAAACAAGCAGACCAATGTATTGCAAAAGAGAGTCAGAAACGTACTTTTGTACTGTGGTGAAATGATTTTCAAAGATGGTAAGAAGGGGCAAAGGACAGTCTCAGCTGTCCTATGTGCAAAAGAGTAACATTCAATTCATTCTTATCAAATCTATATACAAGACTTAACACAAAATGAATTAAAGGGCTAAATATAGAGGGTCATCCCTAGTGGCACA